TTAAGGCCAAGGTTTAGCTGAGGTTTGGCCACTTCTAAAGATCTTTTTTTTAAGCATGATCAATAGATTTACTAGATCCTCTGAGCCCTGCAGTGTTTACACCCATGAGGAGGCATTTGCAGCCATGGGTCAGTAGCAGCACTTGAATAGACAAGCCCAGATAGGGGATACCTCCACAGAACCTGGCACCCACTGGCTGACATAGTTCCAGTCTTCCTTGTCCAAAATCCACCATTCATCCCCAATCCACCAGTATCCACCAGCATTCAGGCTGGGATGTTCCTGTGACACCCTGCAGCACTGACCAAAATTCAGATTAAAACATCTTCTGTGGGATTGAAGAAAACTGTTGCAGGGGAGCAACATTTGTGGGGGATTTTGAAAATATTTTTTTCCTACCCTGGGAAAGACAGAAATTCTTTCTGCATTTGGGGCACAGTAATAGGCAGATAGGATTTCTCTGGAATAAGCAGATTAAGAACAACCCAAGGAAGGGTGGTAACACTGCAGAGTCAGAAGGAAAAAGCCCAAGGGCAAGGCAAGCTTGGCTCAGCTGCCCCAGACAACCATCACAGGGCTTGAGTTGCAGCCACTGCTGCTTATCAGCAGTGGAATGGTTTTGTGTCCCTGCTGAAATCTGCCCCTGAGATGGGTCTGTGCCTGAATTTCTGTGTGGCCAGCGCTCTGCCCAGCCCCTCTGAGGAGCTGACACCTCTCCAAGAGCAGCCACCATCCACATCACAATGAGAGATGTTTGTTTGTGTCTCGCCCAAGTCCCCATTTGTCCTCTCCAAAAACCACGGAGTAATTCAGCCCAGGGCAGGCTCCAGCCTGGCGACAGCCAGAGCAGAGAGGGGTGCCCAAGACCTTCCCCATGCCACTCCCTTTAAAAACAACTCTGGGCTGAGGTGGCTGAACTGATTTTTTTTAATTATTATTATTATTTTTTCCTCTCCAGGCAAATACAGGCTCTGCACAAACCAGTCTGACTCCAGCTCAGTCTGGTGCTTCCCAAAGGAACCGGAGGAACCGGTTGGTGATGGGGCAACCCCTCCACAGCCACCACGGTGGGCACCTGTCCCAGCCCCCATACCCCCAGAGATGGCAGTGCCATCCCCACTGCCTCAGCATCATCATCTCTGCCATTTCCTAGGGGATTTCACCAGCTTTCCATGCAGTCAGCAATGCCCTCACCTCTGTCTGTGGCAGCAGCTCGGCCCAAAGCCCTTCTCCCTCAGCTCAAGTGGGATAAACATGTTCATCACAGCAGCAGCCAGGACCAAGCAGGATTCAGCCTCAAGGCTGCACTTCCCAATACAGAGAGGAGCCCACCAGGCTGCTGGAAGCATCAGGGAAGAGCCACCCCCTCTCAGGACAGCCTGGGCTCAGCATCCCTCTGGCTGCAGCAGGGTCCCCCACCCCAGGCTCCAGGCTGAGAGCTCAATCCTCATTGTTACTGGCACAAGATGTTCCTCACATCCCAGCTCAGCACCTAAAACTGGCTGCAGAGGGCAGAGCCAAGGCTCTGATATCCCAGGGGCTGGGACAATTTCCATGAAGTGTTTTCCACCCCAAAGCTCAGCCTCACCCAGAGCAGGGAGTTCTGACACAAGCCTGAGCAATACCATGAAATAACACTCCAGAAAGGCCAAAGGAAGATTCTCCCTGCCCCAATCCTGTGTGGGGACCCAGCAGCATTGCTGCAGCACACATCCACCCCAGGAATTAGCCCAGGCTGAGCAGCACGTGCTCCCCAGCAGGAGCACAAAGCACACCCAGGAGCAATCCTGAAGCTCTTGCAGAACTTCTTGGCTCTTGCCCCAAAGCAGGCAAGGCGTGACTCTCCCAAAACCAAGTAATGCTGACTCCTGCTGTGCTGCTATGGCCCCTGAGCCCCAGGAGATGCCTCTGGTTTTCAGAGAAGCCAGGAAAAGGCAAAGCAGCTGAGTCAGCACCCAGCCCTGGGGAGAAAGCCCTGAGTCAGCTCTGCTTCCAGCACAAGTGGACTCCTCCCGTCCTCTCCCCTCTCAGCACTGCTGGCAGCCCCATCCCTGCCCTGGTAGCCCCATCCCTGCCCTGGCAGCCCCATCCCTGCCCTGGCAGCCCCACGTCAGCTGCACACACAAGTGAGGCTTTGCAGGCTGGAGATCTCAAAGACAGGAGCAGCTCCTGCTCAGGGCCAGGTACCTCCCTGCAAGGAGCAAGGGCTCACCCAAAACCTCTCAGAGACTCACACACAGCTCCCTCCTGATGTTTTTCTGGTTTACTTCTCAACCAATTTGGTTTTCAATTTGCTGTCTCCTAGACCAGCTGGTCCCAGTATTGCTAACCTTACTCACCACTGAACCAGCATCTCTGACACGCATCACCAAGCGACTTTTCCAGTTCCAGAAATAAGTATTGGCTAATTAAGCTTACAAGGAGCAGGAGAGCTCCTATCTGCCTCAGAGGTGTTGCACCACATCAGCTGGTCAGGCTTGGAGCTCAGACAAGCCCTCTCACACTTCAAAGGTTTGCAGGAAGCACCTGCTGCTGCTGCATTGCACCACGGCACGTCCCAGCCTCCTGCCCGGGCGTGAACACCCCTGGACCTCAGCAGAGCTTGATGCAAGAGCCAGATCACAATCCTGCCTCCTGCCAGGGTGACTCACTCCAAACCACAGCCTTTCCCCTCCCAGGCAGCACAGCAGCAAGAAGAAATCACCCATGCTGCTGTTCAAGGTGCAAACAGCTTGGCTTTTATTTATCTTGAACGTGGCCAAAGCCTTCTCCCCCAGAGCCCATCTGTGTCCTTGGATGAGGTCCTCAGTTCCACACAGGACCAGGACAGGGCCCAGCACGGGGCTAAATCAGGGCAAAACCTCCTCCAGAAAGGCTGGGCCATGCTGATGGCATGTACTTTTATCAGGAGAAGAGACCAGCAGCAGGCTGGAGCTAAAGCAGATGCTTCCCAGAAGGAAAACTGGGATCACCCATGGGAGTGAGACAGCAGAACTAAAAAAAAAAAAATAAAAGTTGTGTTGATGAAAAGGTATCCACAAGCAGCTCTGATCTTAGAGCCAGCTGGCCTGAAGGAGGGCTGGGACATCACTGGGGACAAACTGTGACCATCACACCTCCCTGCAGCCTGGCCGTGCAAGAAGCAAAGTGTATCAGCACAGCAGGGAAAATGGCCTGTTCTTCCTGAATGGGAAGCAAACAGGTGAAATAATCATGTTCCTCTGGCCTGGCTGTCAGCAAACCAAGCACAGTGACCCTGCTGCCCTCCATGCAGGCACTGAATTAGAAGAGATGACCCTGTGTTCCCCACAGGATGAAGAAGGACAAGTTTTCCCCCAGTCAAGCAGCATCTGATAAACCTCAAACAGACCCTGCAGACACCCACACGAGTTTCCCAACCCATCTGGGTGTCACCACAGCAAACTCTGCATGGCTCATGCCTGAGATGTGATTTAGCTCACCAGGGGGCTCATGGAAAGTCAGAGAAATCGAGGGTTACCATGGAAATTGTTTTCACCAACAAGGCAAACCACACGCTGGCCAGAGTTCAGACACCAGAACACAGCACATCCCTTGTGCCTATTTACGGGCAGTGTTGCCCAACTGGAGGGGGCTCTTACAGAGGCAATTCAAGGTCATTACTTCTGCTTCCTAAGGAACAGATAAGTCAGCATGTTGCTTTTAAGAGGAACTCAATTATGTTAATTAGTATCAAGAGGAAGCCCTTCATCTTCAGAGAGCTGCAGTGGTAAGAAGAGCAATGTTTTGCAAGCACCTGCTCCACCTCTGTCCTGAGTCACCTTCCAGGGTCTCTCATTAGGTGACAACAAGCCTGTCCCCACATGACACTGCACCAGGGTGTCATTTGCTTCTCATTACAGACTGCAGCCAGCACATGTGAGCAAAGACAGTCATTTTTAATCCATCCTTTCCATCCCTGACTCCTCTGCCAGACAAGTCGAGCTATAATCATGTTTCAAAGACTTAAGGGTGAGCATTTGGGAACTGGATTTTAGGGCAGTCAGTGAAATCCCTGTTAACCTCTCCCTGTACAAAGCACAGGGTGCAAAGGGTATTTAAAGGAAAAAAAAAGTCTACAAACAACTTAAAACTGCCATAAAAACTGAACTGCAGCCAAAGGTGGAGCTCCAGGGCCAACTGTTTGTATTTTGCTTGCACTGTCCTCATAAAATACTGGCTGAACACTTAATTCATCCTCTTCCCCTTGCTCCTGCAGCCTTGCAGGGGAAGATGAGAGTGGGCAGTTTGGAGACAATTCCAGGAACATATTGTTCTTCTCTTCTCATCCTGCCAGCAGTCACTCTGTGCTGGAAAAACCTCATGAAACAACAGGAGAGGAGAGGTGAGGCACAGGGCTTCTGAAACGCCCACTCAGCTCTGCTCAGGAGTTATCTCAGTGCTAAATCATGTTTTTAAAAGCCTGAAAAAGGCTGGGTTGAGACCCTCGAAGGAAGCAAGGCCACAGAGAGGGGTTGGAGTGAACCATTTTGCCCCTCTTCTGGTCCTGGCTCATTTCTCTTGAAATTCCAAGTAGCCTGGAGGGAACCTTGGACTGCACAGAACAGGATGCTGGGCTTGGAGCTTTGGCTTCCAGGAGGCTGGAAAGCAGCTGGGGTCAAAGCAGCAAACAGGTGGGTGCTAGATGGGGTTAGAGGTCTTTGCAGAAGAAGTGGCAGTGCCCTGGAGCCTCTTAGGATCACCTCACCACAGCTAAAATTCACTCTTCTTCCCCCACTGGCCCACAGAGTGAACCCTGCTGAGGAGTTCACAGAAACACTCACTGAGGGATTTTGGTTTCACTTCAGGCCAGGATTTTGGTACAGCCCTGGGGCTTTTACCCTTGATAAGGGTCATGGGACATCTCCTTTCCATCCATCTCAGAACTTCCTGCACCCACCCAGGACCCACCCTGAGCTTTCCTCCCCAAGCCTCAGGACTGTTACACAAAGGAGAGGTGAGGGATTGGGTAGAAAGCGACACCGAGTAGAAACTTTTTATTTAAAGTAGCTGACAGCCTAAAATAAAAGTGGTGGAGAATGCTGAAGAATGAACATGGCAAGAGATTAAAATCCTCGTGAAGGCACCATCAGTGATGCCCTGCAGGCCCTGGGGACTGAGGAGAGGGGAGAGCTCCTCGGGACAGTGCCTGCAGAGGTCACAGCCTGATTCAAGTGTTGATTCCTCACAAGTGGCCTGGTCACGTCCCCCAGGACTCACAGGCATCAACAGCCACCTCATGCCAAGCTACCACACTTAAAAGCTTCAAGCTAAAAAAAAGGGTCAGCCTGCCTTTGGAGCTGGTCCCAAAATAACTCCACTGGCATCAGAGAGAACGCTCAAAGCCTCGCCTGCACACATGTCTAAAAATCTCCAAAAATAGCTCTTGCTTCCCCTTTGAAAAAAACTGTGGTTCCCAATGCCTCACAGGAACTCTGGTTCTGCTCAGCAAAGCCACAAATAAGTGAGCAGCCCAGAACTGATCTATGAGCACATCTGGACTAGCTGAAATCAGCCTTAAGAAGAAAGGAAAAAAATGAAAGATTTTAAACAGCATGTGTCAAATCCAGGGACCTTTATTTCTCTGGAATGGAAAGAATTTGCCAGCCTGGACAAAAAATTGCAGGTGGCTGTTGTACATTCTTTCAAATAAAAAAAAAAAAAAACAACACACACACATAAGAGTTTGGCTCCATAAATTTCTGTCATAAGAAACAACTTTGAATTGTACACCAAGCTTTTTACAAAGCATCAATGTTAAGATGTTTTACCGTGCTCTATCACATTCTTGGCCATTTATACAGAATATGCCATACCAAATGCTACATCAGCTTAAGACATTTTTAAAAATTAGTATTAAAAAGATACAAAGGCATCTTGGCTTTCATTTGGGTTTTTCTTTTATTAAGACATGGGAGTTTTCTTTGTTTGTTTTCCTAAGGAAGTCACTAAAAAAATATAATAACTTAATTCATAAGGAGAAGATTGGTTAAAAATCCAGCCTTTCTTGCTTGGCAGCCCTCTGAGCTCGTACCTCTGTTGCTTCCATGAGTCTGTGAGCAGGCTGGGGGGTCTCAGCCTCCATCTTTGCCCAGCCTCACTTACCACGTTTGTTCAGAGTTTCCACTGCAGCCAGGAAACATTCCTGGCCAAATGCTAAAAGCCATCTTCGGCCAAACAGGGGGTTTCAATCTGGGCCAATCTCACATGGGTTTAGCCCTTTGTCTTTTGCCTCTTTGTACATCCTTTGGAAGTCTTTGAAACGAGGGGCACAGCCTAACCTGGCCTCCCCAAAGTGCATACGTCCCGTGAAAAGGAAGTCTCCATCTCCTGGCTTCACCCCACACTCCAGCAAGGTCTTTATTTGTCCTCTCCAGTTCCCACTCTCCCCTGTCAGCTGGAAGACTTTGCTCTTCTGCCTGTACAGTTTGCTGACACCGACGTGAATGATGGATTCTTGCTCTTCTGCCTCGTTCGTTACGTTTTGGATGGAGCCTCTGATCACTGGAAACAGAAAAAGGTTTTAAGGATTAATTACACAAAAATGCTTTGGGAGACCCTGGTCCAAACTCAGGCCTGTGCATCCAGGGGAACTGACTTCACAACAGCAGCCCAAGTTTTGGTCCTTTGTTGTTCTGAGAGTTAAGATTATTCAGAAATCGCCAGTATATATTTGCATTTTTTTATAGTTTATATTTGTAATCTGTCCAGCATAGGGCACCCACATATTAAATTTAAACAGAAAAATAATTACATCAGAAATATAGCATTAATCATGAAGAATTCTAACAAGCAGATACGGGCTAAATGCTCCCTGACAACGTACTTTCTGTTCTTCAGCCATTACTGATACAGCTAATGCTAATTTCCCTTTTAAAAAGGGAAGCATGGACAATTAGTGAAACTTTTGGTCTTTTTTCAAGTCAACCAACAAGAAGTAATGGCCTCTCCTTGATGCACCCAAATCCTTGACCTTCTACCGTGGTTGCTGTGTCACTCTGTCCACCCTGGGGAGGTGCCAGCTGGGCAGACAGCTCTGAGCTCCTCCATGTGCCTCAGACCACATTCACTGCTGCTGGAGGCTGCCAGGTGTGAGGAGGGGTCTGTTGGTGTTTTTGGGAGGAGAGGGGATTGGGGAGATAGCAACTCACCGAAATCACTAGTGCAGACAGCCAGGAGCACCTCAGTGTCACTGCAGGGTCGGCAGGGAGCTGCACAGGAAGGCTCACAGTTAGCAAATAAATAAGCATAAACTTAGAACTTTATTTATTTATTAAAGAAATAAATAAGCTTTATTGATTTGCTGCTTAGACAGCAGCAAATCAATCCATTTAAATAAACAAACCATTTAAATTAAACAAAAACTGACACACACAGCATGGGCACGATCACTCCAATGATCTGTCTGGTATTTCTATCACTACAAGAAGTGGGGGCTACCCCTAGTTAACCCCAGAGCCTCCATGAGATTTTTGTACCCAAGCAGGAATAGGGATCTCTTTACCAATCCTGTTGGGATATATTGTCTAGCAAACACTGCACACGTTCACTGCACTTACGGAATATAGATATTTGGTACTGGGTGTATTTGAAGGGCACTCGGCTGTAAATTCACTCAAAAGATTTCACATCGTGTGTCTTTTCTACTCTGATGGCAAAGCTTCTCTCTTACCATTTCTATCAAGTGTTGTTGGGCCATTTAGTCATCACCACATCAAAGATCTGGGAGGTTACAGAGGGGGGGAAGCAAGGAGGGGAGGGGAAAACCCCAATGCACGTGTTGGAGGGCGATGAGGCAAAGGAAACTCAAGCCAGTATCTGTTTGAGCTCGAGCAGTACAAAGACCATTTCCTGTACTGCTGGAAATATTTGGATATCTGCACTAATCTAATCAATGCAAGAATGTGGCTCCTCTTTGTACTCAGCCAGATATTTCTGAGGAGAAGGTGTTGTTGTTGCAGTACAGATGTTTCTTTAACACCCTGTTGAGTTCAGGAATTTGCTTATCCTCAGGATCTGCCCTGCCTGGCCATGCTCAGTGAGTCTGTCCACAGTGGAAGAGGATCAGAACCATCTCTGTCACCTGGTGTCACCTCAAAACATCAGCCAGGAAAATGGAAACCGTGGATCAGCACAGGCACAGACTGCAGCAGAGCAGGGCTCCACTGGACGATGAGATTCCATCACACCAAACTGCAAACTGAACCCACTCCCACCCCAAAAAATTTGGTTTTTGAACCTCAACATCTGAAAACACTTAGTTTAGATTCTCAAACAGTCACAACCTTCCTCTCCCCCCACTTGCTTCCCAAAGTTGATCCATTGCACTTAAAAGTGGATTTAAGCTTGTCCACACACAATGCAGCTGGTGCCTCCGATGCTCTGCCACCCTCTGCCACAAGACATGGCAAATCTCTTTTTTCCAGGGACCCAGAAAGGCAGTGATCCAGAAAGAAGGATTATTGAACCAAATCCACCAGATTTGCTCCAGTCAGATGATTCATACACAGTGTAACATGCTGTTTAATAGGATTAAAGGAAACGTAAAATGCACATTTCTGGGCAGGGATATTTGAAGGAATAATTCAAGGAGCTTAAAAAGCTCCAAAAGAAGAGACAAGGAATAGGCAAAATAACATCTGGATCAATCACGTTTCTGTTTAGTTTTAATACCTCCAAAGCTTTCAGAAATAAGCCAGCTTTCCCTGCCCTTCTTTCCCCACATAGTATTTCAGCTCTTTTCAGAAGAGTTGCAAAACCAGATGAAGCCTAGACATAACTGGAGAACTAGAATAAATTCAGGCTAAAGTCACTTCAAGTTTTAGACTCAAGGGACTTTGATCAGTGGCTAGAACAAATAAAGAAGCTTCATCTGACAAAGAAAATTGTAACAGAATCACTGAATCATTCAGGTTGGAAAAGACCTCTACGATCAAGTCCAACATTACAGTGCCATGACCACCACTGTCCCCAGGTGCCACATCCACACATGGTTTGAACACTTCCAGGAGTGGTGATTCCACCACTTCCCTGACCAAGTCTTAGTTTGTTAAGTCACTAAAATCCTTCTATGGAGCTGCTTCATCCATGGCACCTCCCAAATCCATCCAGGGCAGGAGTCCCTCTTCCCCAGGCTCCCTCTGCCCAAATGAGGACCTGACTCAGATCAACCACATAGAGGGACCTTGCACAAATCCCATGGCATTTTCACATGGACACAAGCTCCAAAGCAAAGCACAGCTGATGGACATCCTCTAAACCCACAGATATTTCATTCTGGAAAGACCTTGTAATAAAAAGGCATCTGAGCATTTTTAAGTCTTGGTTTAGACCAGACACCTCTGTAGTTCATCCAGCCCCATCAGAAAATTGAAAACACCAAAATGACTAAGGCATTTCTGTTCTCCAAAGGGGTGCAACACAAGCAACAACATTAAAGATGAAAAACAAAATGCTTTAAAAGTGGTTCCTTCCATTTAAATAGACTGACACAGTAATAAATCAAATGAACAAACCTCCATATGTACACAGAATCAAATCATTTTAATTGTGGACCCTAGGCAAAATCCTGCAGCCTTTTTAAATACAAAAGGAAATTAAAAATGCTCAGCATTGCTCACACTAGATCATTACTTAAAACCTGCTTCAGGTCCAGCTGACTCACAGCGGTGTGGTGGCATGTGAGCTGCTTTAACAACCATTCTCCACCACCCATCTCTGCAACTCCAGACAGATGAAGACAAAAATCCTCTTCTGTGGGACAACTCCCACATCTGAGTATCAAATAGATCTTGCAAGTGGCAAAAACAAGGTATGGAAGCACAGATGGAAAGCAAGTTGTGAAGGATTACTGCTGAGGTAAATGAAGCATTGAAAAGCAAATAACATCCACTGGCTACAACCAAAGCCTGATTTCTATGAAGGCTCATAAAAGAGAATAAATCCTTAGGAGGTGGCAATGCCTACACTTTCTTTTGAATCACAGCCATGAAGAAATCTATGTGTTTAATACAAAAGTTCATGGGTTTAGCTGCAGTTCAGCTTTTATTCCCCTTGGATTGGGCAGCAGGTGCTCTGCTCCTCCCATAGCTCAAAATAACACACACACCTCAGGCTATAACAGGATGCATCCTTATAACTATAAAAAAATAAATTAAAAAAAAAAAAAACAACCCCAAGAAAAGCACTTCACTCATGCACAGCAGGTGAAGACGTTCATTTTCTGGGGAACTGGGCCTGGTTACTAAACAAGGCAGCTGTGTTTGCCAGATCCTGACTCCCTGGGGATGTCTCGAGGGCTGCCCAGGTTCTCACATCCAAAAGCAAGCCTATGAACTTGCAACAACAATATCAACATCAGCTCCTCTAATTCCTTTAAACTCGATGAGCCAAAGAGCCTGAATTCACACGGCAGCAGGAGAAAGGTGGGGGGGAAAAAAAACATAGAAAAGCAACATTTTATTGGAGTCCTCTAAAGCCCAGATGCCCATAACTCAGCTCCACCAGCAGTGGCATAAAGCCTGCATTGTGCACGTCGGCTGCCGACTCTCCTGGGAGCGCCTTTGATGGATTTTGACAGTATCCTGACCTGGAGTAACCTGAGGCAGCCCTCTCCCTCCAACGCCCAGAGCCTCCAAAGGCCTCTCTATTCACCTCCCCGCAGAGGGAGATGTAATTACATCATTCCTCACAAGCCAGCAGTCATGTCCCAGCTGCTTTGAGCGATTTGCCCTCTGAACCTGGTGTTAGTGAGGAGGACGAGGCGATGCTAACAATAGACTGCACTTGTTGGCCAACAGTTTTGTCAAACACGTTGCTGGTCCTCTCCTGGACCTCTCCATGGGGAGGCAGAATCGCCTGGAGAGAGGGATGTGTCCTGAGGAGATGCCACGAGCCTCAGGTGTGTGGGAGTCCAGAGCATCCCTCTGGCTGCCCTGGGACCCTGGCAGGGGTCAGGAACCCCCTGGACAGAGCCCCAGAGACACTGGCTGTGATCTC